CTGCCCAACAGAAATGTCATTTCAGTTGCATCTAAGCATTATGCATCTGCTCATGTGTCTGTAAATAAATAACATCGTGGATAAGGCTACGCTACTCTTCCCATGTGATTTAGACTCCAATCTGGTATCTGCTGAATTCCAACAGAACAAGACCCAAGTGGACCCAAGTCCTAATGTTCCTGCTTTCAAGAGTACAAAATTTAGGATATAATCTGTGGTTTAGCCTATATTCTCTATCTGTAAAAGGACCTCCAATTCAGCTGATTATTAGATTTTGCATTTGCAAGCAGAATGTCCAAACATTCTGAATTAATGACATTTTACATGTGGGCATACTTATTGATCAGGAAATGTCATCAGTTTCAAAAATACTATTTCACATACTAATCAATTACAATTAAAAACAAAAATACTCAGAGGGGGAAAACCCTCAGACCTGCTTAGCAAAGTTATACAGAAGTGCAAAAAACCCCCAGAGTATCAGAAAGTACAATGTTCACAGCACGGGGGTGAGTATGAGAATATACTGAATATCCTATAAAAATGAACAATCATAAGCATCACTTTTTTCCAGCAAATATTTTTTTAACCTCCTGAAGTAGTGCTGATTTTCAGCTACAACCAGATATGTTCTACATACATAGTGTAGAATTAAATCATGCAAGAATAGAATTAAATAATGCAAGTAAATGCAGTTACAGGAATAAATGTGTAAGTGTAAGGAGCAAGTGACAAGGAAACAGTCAAAAGAAAATAGTATTTTGGGGGAGTAGGGGGAGGAAATCTCTTTACCATTCTGTAACAACCTTTGCAGTGTTGCCAATTCAAAGCCAGTTGTGAGTCATAGGGACTCCACACTTGCAGGCATTACAAAAAAAAAAGAAAAAAAAAGAAAAAAAATTAATATTTTTCCCCTCAGAGCTCTTTTGCTTGCAAATTTGCCTTTCCCTTTTCCTAGCTCATTCTTGCACATCCCCTGAGATGAGGGAGAAAGCTCTGCAGGAAAACATGCCATCCTTTTGGCATAGCATAGAAGAATTTTGTGAGATGACTTGCTCTGGTCTAATTGTGTGGTGGAGAAGGCTTGGGAGTGTGATTCTGCATGGCAGCCCTGTGTACTGTAGTTAGATTTGTATCAGTGAGATATGACAGGTCTGCCCTTGAGATTCTGCAGTGGCACAGTGCCAGCTGTTCACCACGCTGATCTGTGTCTCTCCAGAGCAAAATCAAAACCTGCTGCCATGGTTCAGCTCTGGGTCAGACCCACAGCCATATTACTGAGGGTTGTTTTTTTTGTTTGTTTCTTCTCAATTCGAAAATTGCTGAAATTTTGTAAGGGAAGCTGCTTTCCTGACAATTCAGCCTAAAGCAGCACTGTATCTGCTACTTATACATCAAAGGTTGAAGGATTTTGGTACTAGAATTAAACATGCTTTGACCTTGTGACCATAAAATATAACCACAGTTAAGCTAGATTCACAATCTGATAAGCAAAACCATGCAAAGACTTTTTAGTTTTGCTTTTGCAAGGGAAAATTCTGCCATGTATTGCACTGGGATTTCATTCATCTTTATTGATGGCATTTCACTTAATTGGTGCCATTTGAGAGCCCTATAGGCAAGGCAGAGAAAGAAGAATAAAGTAGGGATAAAAAATGGGAGAGGGAATTGTTAGTATAGAAAAAAATTCCCACCATGTTTGTGCTTCTGAAATCTCCAAACGTTTTAAAAATCTTCGTAAAAATAGCCATGAAATGAAAAAATGCAGACAGTCCTGAAGAGCCCATAGTCAGGATGTGTCCTAAAACAAGGGTATCCCTACTGTAATTCAGAAAAGTTTTGAGATCTCCGCTGAGGTCTGGAAAAGCAGTGGCTGCCCCTCCCTCTCTCTTTGTAGTCTCACTGGGATTTGTAGGACTGGGACTTGGGCCACTGGTTTTAATTTGTGCTCTGGATGAGGTTTTTCTTGACATGGGGTTCAGTGGTACCACCTAGTACTACCTAGTGTATCTTAGTGATTGCTGATGAGTCCAGTGTTGCAGAGGAAAGGGGGCTAACATTACAGTATATTGTTATGCCTCCTGGCCCTTTTTCCAATTCAGGCACATCTCTGTCTTCAATGAGAGTGGAACGTTATGTTTTGTTTATTTTCCAGGACTTTTATTAGTAAAAAAAAAATTATTTTCCTTGCCCTCTTCTGGCACATTTGGACAATTTTTATATGCTCTCATATTAAAAATGGGTATTAGGTCAGATGGATGATTAATCTGAACCAGTACAGCCATTCTTAAATAATTAGTGTTTCCAATACCATAAAAAAACCACAGTGCTTTTTAAAAAATCACACTAAAATGTTACTCTGGGAAATAATAAATGGCAAAGAGTTCCACTGTGTAACAAAGCCACATATGAAATAGCTCTTCTTCTGCCAGCTTTGGGGTTCTCATCTCTAAAACTGACAGAAGGTTTCAATATTTTTGTGCTAAAGGACACGGAACAATAGAAATTTCTCACCTAATTTTTTCTGAAGCAGTTGCTCTTTTACATAATTCTATCCTCAAGAAATTGAAGGCAGTGAAGAGGAGAACAAGACACACAGAAGTGAGCAGTTTTGTTTTGCTGAATGAAAGGGATTGAAAGGAGACAAACCTCAAAAAAGTGGAGATAATGAGTAAGAAACCCATTGGCTTTTATCCCTGTGATTTTAAAGGACCAGACCATTTTTAGTACTCAGATTTTTTTCTTTAAAATAGGGCATCTTCAAAGGCTTTTATAAATCATGTCAGAGCTTGGAGCACATTTTTATTCTCTGACTGGCCAGCAAAGGAGCACAGAAATGTTTGTTGTGTGCATAAAAGAAGGTATGCAAGAGAGCCTTCTCCCAAGGGAGTTTCCTCCTTCCATATGTCTAAATAATCCATACCCTCCTAGAAAGAGAACGTTGGAGGGTTTTTATGCCATCTCAATATTTTCCTATTACTTGTTCCATTATTTATTGTGGAGTGACTTTCCAACTTGCAATGCCCTGAGCAAGCGTGGTTCTCGCCTTGAGCTACCAGAGGGGGAATCTGGCTGCAAACTGCCTCCCCATCTGTCGTGGAGTGAGCGAGAAAGATCCGAACTGGCAGGGATTTTTTTCCCCTTTCCCTTTGTCTCTGCTGCCAGAAGGGAAACAGGAACTGGCCCATGAGTTATTGAGTTAATATAGGGCCACAGAGTTGGAGACCCCCAGATCTCAGAGCCTGAAGACTGAACACCCCTTGGGTTCCTGCTGGATGTACTGTGGTAGGCATTTCTTTCCCTTGCTGCAGGACTTTACAGCTGCCTCCCCACACCACTCTCAACTTATGCAAAGACTCACCCCCCGAGCAGCGAGGCAGTTCTGGTGAACTTTCAGCCTCCTAGAAGAGGCTTCTCTTAGTAAAATTGATTAGATAAGTTTGCTGCCAATGCTCAGTGGGGATTACTTCTCCCCCCCACAAATGATCCCCTGTTTCTGGGTTCTCTTGCCTACAGCTCCTTGTTATATATTATTATTTCTCAGTGTGCACAGTGAATCTGTGCCCAAGATTGCATGCTTTCACCTCATTGACTGGCTTCTTCCCCCTTCTCTCTCCCATCACCTTTCCATGCCTTGCCAAATATCAGCTATATAACAGTAACAGCAAATGCAATCTATTTTAGAGTCTTCTTTTCTCCCAAATCCCTCCTATATTCAGTGCAGAACACCTGGGCATGCTTCTGAGTTGACAGTCCAACACCTTTCATCCAAGGTGGAACATGGCTGCCCCTATCTTCCATGTCTGACCCCAAGAAAACAGGCAATGATCCTGAGCCAAACCCCTAAAATTTGGCCCAAGACTTTGCTCCAAAAGACTCCATTTTCGTGTCATATTTGTGCCTAGAGAGGATATTGGTTGAACAAAATCCCATGCTTGTCCCTCTATCTCTGCAAACCTGAAAGCATACAAACTGACCCTGATACAAACTTTGGGATGTGTTACTCCTTTCCTTTGGGGGCAGCCTGGTCTTACTAAGAAGAGATGAACATCAGGCTGGGGTTGTCCTGAGGGAGCAGCAATGCTTGGCAGGGCAGACTGTTTACAACAAGTCTTGCTCGGACATTAGGCAAATTATCAGGAGAAATTGGCCCATCCCCTCTTTGTCCAGCTGTGTACTCAAGTGAGGCTCTGAGATTGATGTGTCATTAACAAACTGTGACCCAGACTGTGATTCAGCTAGGAGCTTCCAACTTGCATGTGAAATTTGCATTTTTTGTACAGCTTTTAGAAAAGTATTCCCTCCTCATTCAGAGCAGAGTACTTTTCTGCATGTCAGACAGCTGCTGTTATCCATCATAATAAAGAGGTCTTGCTCATTCAGAGGTTTAAAGACTGTTGGCTTTTAGATCAACGGTTCATTCTTTTTATCACTCATGAGCTTATAGACAAATAGCTCTAGCTGGTTAGAAAACAACCGAGGCTCAGCTAAGCTCAACTCTTAAGGTGTGCAGGACTGTGCAGACCTCTGTAGCTGCCGAACTAGTGTGGGTTGCATACACATCTGTAGTTTACTGGTGCTGGTTTTTAGTCAGCACTAAGTTTAGCAGTGTCCAGGAATTCTTTTTCTCTGAAGTTCTTATCATTCTTGTGCTCCTGCCACTCCCCCATGATCCAGAGCTGGATGAGCAGCTAGTGTCCTATGTGTTAGCTCAGGGCCCTTCCCCATATGAAATTTGGCATTTCGTTGTGATATAAAGTTACTTTCTTCCCATAACCTGTGTAAAGCAATTAAGCATTTAGCACACAGCTATTTAAGTGGTATTTTGAATCTACTGCATCACTAATACATCGTTCTGAAAATTGCATGAGGTTCACCCTAATAATTCTTGAGTTCCAACCCCAGACTTGAGCATTATGAGTGTCCTGGGAAGAAAAGCGTGTGTAAGCAAGACCAAAGGCAGCTGTATACTGTGAAATAATAAGTACCAGACAAAATACAGTATCACAGCTAATAGATGTATTTTAAAAGTGGAAACATCTATCTTTAATTGCATTTTAAGTACGTAGTGAGAAACCACAGTTATACATTTTTATAACAAACCTTTACATCTGAAGTCATAATAATACAAATAAAAAGTGCTGATTATATATGGTCAAAATAACTGAGGCAAATTTTTGACAACATCTTCTAAATATGATCATGTGGCCCCTGTCAGCAACACTCTAAAGTCAGGCTGAATATTGTTAATGACAATCACTGTTTTTCCCTAGTTTACTGAAAAACAACAACCCAAAAACGATTTTGTTTTTTTTTGTTTGTTTGCCTTTTTTTTTTTTTGCATAGCTTTCAATATTGCTGCCCTCTCACCTCTGCATATTGCAAGCCCATCTCAGTTCTGGATAATTACTTTAAAGTTCTTAATATTTTTAATCCAGTTCTCCTTGAATACATAATATATATTTTCTACCAATTATAAATACATAATTTTTATTAATCTGATTTCAATAACATGCATTTGTATAATTACTATACAGTCAAAATAGACATTGACTTTACACAGTGTGTACGCTTTTATTTCAATAATATTGTTCAGACACACTGCTCAACAAATCAAGAAAATAGAGAAATAAAAAGTTAAAAAGGAGGGAGAAAACCCCTGGAAGGAAACATATTCTCACAGTGATTACAGACAAAAAAAATACTTATAATAAAAAGGGTTTTTTAATACATAGAAAATCCTCACAATAGTTGAAACACACTTTAGGAACTAGTAAACATTTTAAATAGAATTGTGCCAATTACACAGTGCCCAAGCATCTGCTTGCTCTTAATTAGATGGGGAGGTGAATGACCACTGTTTATTTTCATTTTCCTCATTAATTATGAAAAACTGCATTCAATTCATCTTGCATGGTGAGAGACTGGCTGCGCAGATGTAAGTCGTAAGGGAAGTGACTCTCTGTAGGCAACCTGAACATCGAGCTCTGCCCAAGGGGACCCCTGGGTGGCACTGCACAGTAATGCATGCCGTAATTGTAATTTTTGCCATAGTCCAAGCTTTCCTCTTGCTTCAGGGAAAATATCCCATTATAGTTAATTGGGGGAGGACTTAAGGGACCTTCAAACTGTGGGCTGGCGCACTCAGGGGAAGTGCTTTCATAGAAGGACTCATAAGCGCTGCAGTAATTGTACGGTTTCATGGACTTAGAGTTGTCAAGAGTCCCATGCCCTGGGGGGGTGCCAAGCTCCGGGCTGTGGTAGGGAGGATAGAAGGTGGAGTAGGGTGTGCGGGTATGATGGGCACCTTCACCTGCCTGGCCCATTAGGAAACTTCTGGCATTCAGCTGCAGGCATCCCGCCACCAAGTTTGTAGTTGGCTGGGACAGACCCTTGCACAAGTTTTGCACAAAGGTGAGCAGGTCAGGTCTCTTGCCAATTCGCAGTATTTCAGAAAGAGCCCAAATATAGTTCTTGGCTAGTCTTAAAGTTTCTATTTTGGACAGTTTTTGTGTTTTAGAATAACAAGGGACCACTTTCCTTAAATTGTCCAGAGCGTCGTTAAGGCCGTGCATACGGTTCCTCTCTCTAGCATTGGCTTCTTGACGCCTGAATTTAATCCTTTCCATCCTTATCTTGCTTGTCTTTTTTTTCCTAAGGCCCCTTCGCCTTGGCAAGCCATTCTCATCCTCCTCTTCTCTCTCTTCCTCCTCCTCTTCTTTTTCTGTGTCTTCTCCAGGAGATCTTTTAATATTCTTTCCTCGGAGGATGATCTGCTTTGAAAAGCTTTCTGGGTTCTTCATTTGCTTTTGGTCATCACTTTCTCTGGGAAACTTCCTACACATCTGGGATTCTGGCATTACAACAGACTCATCAAATGGTAGTGTTAACATGGTTCTATAATCTTAAGTTACCTGAAAGAATGCCAGCACAATGTTTAAATATTTCCATTTTTAAAGTTTCCCGACTCACACAGACAGCCTCATGCACCTTATTTGTGTCTGTGTGTAAGCTTTCTGTATAAGACAGAGAGTGTGTGTGTATAAATGCTCAATCTATATTTTTTGAATAAAATGGCTGTTGCAAATGCCCACTTTTTAAAAAATAATAGCTGTTGAGAATTCTAAAATCACTTGAAACATTTGACCCTGCAACTAAAAATCAACATTTCTCACAGATAAATATGGAGTAAACTGATATTTTAAATGTACAATTATCTCCCTAGCAATTTATTTTGTTTTTTAACAAACCCTTCAAACTCTCACCATCATGGAATTCAAAGAAATGCAAAACGTGACAAAGCAATACAGAAATTTCATTAATCCAAATTCCCCTGAGTGGAAAAATGAGGAGAGGGAGTGCAGTTTTAAGATTGAAAAAGTGCCATATCTCTATTACCTGATGGTAAATATTTTAAAATTACTTTTTGACTTATACTTCAAAATTATGGGTTTTTCCCCTCCACATTTCTTCCTTTATGTATCAAGATATTAAACTTTAGTAAGTTACAGTGGCTGAGAAGGAAAAAAAATGGAATATATCCCCCCAAATCACTCAGTTAGTAATATAATTCAAAACAATGTATTTTTCCTAGCTATTTGTATTAAAATCACATAATACGTATTTCATATTTAGACAATAATCAGAATTATTTAACCCTAAACGTATTCAGATTTGAGTTAGGAAATAAAATCCCCCTACCTTTTTTTTTTCCCCCTTTTTCAAGCAAAAATTGTATTTGATATTATCTGTTTAGTTAGAATCAACTTATTTGCTTTTTTTTTTCTTGTTCTTTTCTCCGTTTTTTTTTTCTTTCCCATCAATGGGGGGGGGGAGGAGGGTGAAAAATTCCCTGCACGCTATAGCAGTGTTTATGTTCTGCGAGGCTCAGATGTCTTCCTCCAGCTCTTAGCTGACAGGAGCGGTCTGTAGATTCTGACTGTAATCCTGCACGTGTGCTCAGAATCCAGCCTGGAAAGGAAAAATAATTTCCTTTTCCCAATCACTTTGCTTTTGTTTGCAGTTTGGGAGCAGCAAAAGCTTGTATCCCATGGACTTCAAAGAGACAAGCAAAGTAAATGCAGGGACTTTTTAACAGAGCAAAATTAAACAAAAACCCCAGTCAAAGACTAACTCTATCAGTATTGTCTACACACTTGCAGCATTACATAAAAGCAATGAAAGTTTGTAATTGCATCAGAAGAATAAAATGTTAGGAGTTATTAGACAGCAAATAGCATACACAAAATACAAGACAATGATACTGTATCTTTAAACACTTGCATGCACACCCAACACCAATTGAAATATATCTTTATTTGTATTACCTTAGCTTTTTATTTCATTCAACAATCAGTTTTCATTTTTTGCCTTCCAAATCTTTTCAGTCTGAATGTCGCATCGTCTGCTGGAGTCTAGATCTGTGTGTATCTGCACTATCTCATTGATCTCTAAAAAGTGACATTGATGCCAACTGCCAGAGCTGGTACCCATGCCATCTGCTAGTGACGTCACGGGGCAGAGAAAACCACGTGAGCCTTTCTCCTGGGACCTTCATTCTGCACTGATCATCTGGCATCCCTCTAAGTGGGTACCAGCATTCATGTATCAACACAGAAGGTTAGACCGATAGAAAAAAAAAAAAAAAAAGAAAAGAAAAAAATTCTGCACCAGCATTTCACATACAGTAGGTGCATTTCCACTGTAGTTGTTTCTTTTTAGCAGTCTAGCTGCATGGATAGACATGCCAGCATTTGGTGCTATCCCTGCCTACAGGTACAGCTGCCCTCTGGTTGTTAATATGGCATTGTTTATATGAGAAATGCTGTCCTGTATTGATCTGAGTCCCTCCAGTGCACCTGGTACCCAGGGACAAAAAAGAAAAGGCAAGGAAAGGAAGGCAGTAATGGGGAAGTAATGCTGGTGCTATAACGCATAGCACAGTCACAAAAGTAGTTTTTGTGTGATGCTGCTGGGTGTGATTTTTGGAGTGTGGGGGTTTTTTGAGTACAGCTTGTTGCCCCAGAGCACAGAATAATAGGAGCAAACCTCATGCCATCTGTAGGAAATCCTTCCTTCACATCCCTTGGTGTTTTTTGACACTGCAAAATAAAAGAGGCATTTATAGAAAACTGGACATACAGCATGAAGGTTTAACAAATCATGCCTTTTTTCTGAAACATGTGGCAAGGCTCGCTGGTCCCTGACCTGCTCTGGCACATTGCAATGTCACTGGGGTGCACCTGCTCAAAAATGTAACTTCGGATTCTCGAAGGGTTTGGCCCTTGCCATATTTTCTCAGTCTGCCTGGCCTTTTCATGAATGTTTCCCCAGTATCTCCTTAAAAACTGAGTTATTCCCTTCGGAAACCTCCTAAAAATCTCCCCCTGCTCTTCTGTTTTCATACCTAGCTTCTCCTTTCCTCATGCCCTTGTTTCTCCTGTCAGCTGCCTCTCCTGTGCTCCCTGCTCTTCCTCCTTTAACCCTTTTATCTCTTTCTGCTGGCAAAACACTGTTAAATGAAGCTGACAAAGACTCTTAGCTCAGCCTTGCCATGGAGCTTCTGACAAACTCCACCTTCATGTGTTAGGGGTTTGTGTTTTGGTTTTTTTTTAATTTAAGGAGTGGCATGTCACATATAAGTGATATCAAGAGAGTTACAGGGGGAATGATGTGTCACCTTAGAAACATTTTGTTTTTTAAATTTGGCTTCATTATTATTGTGTATCACTGTTTTTTGTAACTAAATAATCTCTATATTAAAATAATGAGTGACTGAGTATGCTTTTTGTATTAAAATAATCCCTGGCAGAGCTGCTATTGTTACGGGTCCATGACAGCATTTCCATTATAAATCCTGGTTTTGAAGGGTTTATAATTCATCTGCTTTAATTCACATTGGTCCAAACCTTGGCATTAATGTTCTCAGCCCTCATCCAATTATTTTTTCTTTCACAAAGTTTCATTTAAATATGTTGGCACTTTTTTTGATTAGACACGGGAACAAAAAATAAGGCTGCAGGACAGAACACCACGTGTGTGGGAAGATGATGTTTTAAACGTCTATATGTATGTGCTCAATGATTTTACAGCCTTTCATTAAAAAATCCTAACCCCAAAACTTGAGGGGTTTTTTTTGTTTTTGTTTTATTTCAAAGAAGTAAGACATTCAGTTCACTCATTCCTTATAATATGCAGGCATTAATTTTTAGTTTCTGTATTTTGAGGAAAATTTATCTGTAGTGACAAAGATGTTAAAACTTAAGGGGAAACTGCTCAAAAACAGCAAGTGCTGTACTATTCATAGCATTTGCTTAATTTTTATTTACTGCAAATATTAAAATGCGTGTAACAAAGGAGAGGGTAGAATCCCATTATCCTCAGTAGGAATTTATGTATTAAGATTTATATTGTTAAAGGTTCTAGGGGTTGTCAACCTTTTCAAGGATTTTGCATTTTCGAAGTTTTAAAAAATACATGATAATCTAAAAATTAAAAGTCCTAGAGTAACCAACACTGTTTCAATACATACTAAAAATACCATGAGATACTGAAGGAAAGGTTGACATTGTAATAGTTCTGTGTTTAGGGAAGGACCAACAAAATTTTCAGTTATACCACACAGCATCCAAAATACATGAAAATATTTTTTCCATCCTTTTATATTATTGAAAGAGATGATTATTTTTTTAAACAGCTCAAATGCATTTTTGAACAGCTTTTATACTGTTACTAAAACCAAAAATGAATTTGTTTGTGTTGAATGATTCCCTCTATAGGAGTAATATTACAGTTTCACACATTCCTAATCCATCTTTTGACCTTTTTAATATTTTCAAATAAATTGTGGAGAAACAAAATAGCTGAGATATCAAGGTTTAAAAAGCCTCTACTGTGCATGCATAATAACTTTTCATAAGGATTTTACTACGCGTTTTGTATTATGGATCCATGATATGCAAATAGGTACTGCTGTTAATATGCATTCACAGCATACCCGATAACTGCTGCTTTGCTGTCTACTGTGAATGCATGTTAAGAATAATATACAAAATACAGTTAAATGCACTCTATAGAATGGTTGCACAGCACCAAATATGTAACTGAACACATATCACAATTTTCTTTCCTGTACCTGGACTGTATAGGCTTGAATTAAAGTGAGTTTCTTTTAAATGCAGTATTATAATAATACATTAATATTAATATGTATAAATAATAATACAACCAAACATTTATAGATTCATTTAAACAATACTGACTCATTAACAGATTTACTGAAATAATACTGAGTTCCAAGGACTGCAGAACCTCCATGGTACATGAGGGGGACTGACCCAAACTGCGCTGCATTCAATGTGAATCCTTCAAGTAAGTTCAATATGCTATCATCGGAGCCCCGGGGAATGTCTTACTCTTTTTCTTTTTCTCTCTCTCTCCCTCTCTTTTTTTTTTTTTTTTTATTTTTTTTATTTATTTATTTTTATTTTTTTTTTTAATTTTTCTCGTCCTCTCCAACCCTCTCCTAACTAGCCCATACCTCCCCATTTTGCTGAAACAGGAAAACCACATCAAATTAAGGAAATCAGGAACATTTCAAAGTGTGATAGCCTTGGTCATTCACTGAGTGCCATGGGATCTTGTGGCTAGCAGGAAACTGCTCAGAAGGGGAAAATAGCTAAGTATTTTTCTTTTATTTGTTTCCTCATCTTTCTAATGTAGACATCGCTGCAACAGTGACACAGACACAGTGACAATCATGCGATGCCAAACTCCCTCTTCCACACTCATGACCTGATCTGAGTTTGCCTTCCTGCCATAGCACCCACATTCACAGCCCAAACACCAGAACAATTGTTGCCTTGGGAATGAGACTGGGGGAAAATGTGCATCCTAAATTGCAAAGTCAGACCACAAGGGACAAATACATGGGTAAAAGTGTAGAAAACAGTGGCTCTGGTCTCCTGCTGGGTTTAATGTTTAAGGAGGGGGTGGGAACACCTGTTCGGCAGGAGTTTTGTGCATGCTTTTGGGGTTTTGGTTGGTTTGGGGTTTGTGGTTTATTTACTTACTTTTTTTTTATTTGAGTTATGTTGTTTTACAAAAATATTCAAAAGAGGATAGTATCTTGGGCAGGGAGCCTGATCTGCCAGCCTTGGTGAGTTTCAGACCAGTCAGAAAGTGAATTTCAGACTGGTCAGATCTGGGACTTTCTGGTGAAGGCTGGACTGTGTCTCTCCAAAATGATCTGCTGTGGGAAGAACCAGGGCAATGTGCCACATGCATGCTGCATGCCAACTGCCTATCCTGTGTGCAGCTAGCATACCATGGAACCAGAGTGACGTGTCTCTGTCAGTGAAGACCTGTCCCTCTTCTGCCTCTCCCAGTCCCCAGAATGCTGCCGTAGACTGTGGACTTTATATGAGGGGAACTTGCTGTTCCCATCAAGTTGACTAAACACTCTTCTGTTAGTGCTAAGACAATTTATGTCCTTCTCTCAGGACAGGTTAGAAGACACCAATAAGGACCCCTGGTTTCAGAGATATAAACTACATTATCTCAAGAGGATTTGGTTAAGTCTGAAAATACAATTTTTAACCTATATGCCAATGAGGCAAAATATAAGTGTGTTTTGGATTAGGCCCTCTTTAATAAGGATGTACTTCTTGATCTAATCAGACATCCTTACTTTCATTTTTTGAATAGGCTGTGAGACACAAACAGGAAAGAACTGTAAAGGGGTTAGTTATTCTATTTTCATGGGAGTTATTTGAGTAAAAGACAAATGTAGGATCTGAAAATGGTTGCTAACTATAATTGATTAAGGTTAATCAAAAACTAGTTGGTGACTAGAAATTACTTTAAGATTTCTGAAACATGATAAGAATAGGTCTTATGTAGATACAACATACTTTTGGGACAATGTTATTAATTTTATTTTATTCCTGTTTCACACAAGTATAAAGGAGTTGAGAGATGGTGTAAACAAATAATTTTAAAATGGAAAACACCTTTGTTTTTTTAAATCACCTAGAAAAGTAGAGGTACAATATGGCCTGAAAGTTTTAGCACCAGATCATGAGGTGATGTGTACTTTGCAGGAATATGAGATTTAACGTACTTCTCTCCCTGGGTTAAAATACTCTAGTCAGACCAATCATGTAGCTGTGTCACTTTTTAAAACTGCAGGGTGCTAAGATGATTGCTATTGCTTTGCGGTGCCCTACAGTACATCTGAGAAATGGTATTTCTCATTCATGCTTGGTGACTGGAGTTGTCACACTCTCTGCTACCCTACTTTGAGGATGGTCTGGGATCAGTAAGTTTGTAAATATTTAGAAGCTGCTGCAGGGACACTTAGCTAAAGGACACACTGATGCTGCTCATCACCATTAATTCTTTAATGGCAATCTCTGTCAAACATCTAGTCAGTGATGATGACT